GGGCTCATGTCCTATTCCCTTGAAAAACAATCGGGTTTCAATGATTTGTCAATGTGCGCACCAGCGCAGATTGGGCTGTAGCCTTCGAGGAGCCTATGGGTATGTTGCTTTTGTGGTAGGTAAGTATCACAGATTGTAAGTTGAGTGATAGTGAAGGTAGAATAGATTTTTCGGACTTTGTACGATTACTCCTTGGCTTACCTCCCCAAAAGTATTTCCGGCTTGCTTAGCGGAGACCTACTGCTCGGAAGAACAAATAAGCCGTGAGACAAGATAGCGGATCCGATGTCATATCTGACGATAAATTTTTGTTAGCCGAGAAACATCATTACCTAGAAAATCATAGCGAGACATTCGTAAGCAAGCAGAGGAATTTGAAGAACATTAGAATGAATTTGTTTAGATGCTAAAGGAAGAATTCTAAGCAGTTCAGATCTATGAAAATAGAATTCGAATCCCAACTTCGTAGACTGACTAAAACTGAGCGACAAGAACGATAATCCAGTGGGCCCACATAAGACATTCGGCCATGTGCTTACATTGCTCATGTTATGAGAACTTCAATCTCCCAAAAATGAATGATAGACTCTTTGCCAACAAAGCTGCGTAAAATAATGCAAAAACGCTTTTGTTAAGACTACATTTGGGAAGTCGTATGTCTAAATTTCCATTCCACTTAAGCGACATGTTCGTGAAGTAATACTTTCTAACTGTGTGATTTTTTAATCGATGTTTCAGTTTCTGAGCGCATGCCTAAGCACGAGGATATATTGAAAGCGAGGGTCAAAGAGGTTGAAGACAAGGAAGTTGAATTATGTATTGCTCACATGAGATTTCTATCAAAATTCTATATTACAATTATTGAAGTAAGTTTTCCGAGCTAAGAGTTGAATAAAGTGCAATTTTTATTTCAGAATTTTTGCAGAACAAACGAGCACAAATGAATATGGCGCACACGCAGTTTTTGGCCAATAGGAATGATTGGAATGCTCACAATGATTGGACAGGATCAAAGCAGAAGGTTTGCATTTCTCGTTGTAGCTATGTATGATATAATTCTTCCATCCTTCGCTTACATCGCTACCACCAATTGGGTAATTTTCCGCTATATCCTGTCGTTAATAGCTCTTCTGATCGTATTTAACTGAATAGTGTAAACTTAAAATTGGCATTATGCACATAAAATGAGAACAAATGCAATGTGAAATTTATATAGCCTCGGGAGGTGGATGAATTCTGAGCGATAATAGTTTTATAAGAGAGTAGACTTTTTCTATTTCGCAATAGAGTTTTCAGATCATCGAGCTGTACAGATATTGGTTGCGCGAGCTGATGAATGTTACTTTAGTGGATGATGTCCGTGCCATCTGCATGCATCAGATGATGGCTGCCGACTGTTACTGGTTTCTCGCTAAAATGCATCAGCCAGGTATTTCCGCAGTGCTTCTTATTCTTATGGCAAAATATCCAATCCCATTTTCAGCTTTCCATCCTGGACATTCGAACTATGAAATGGCCTGTAGGTGCATGCTGAAGATACTTCGTGCATTAATCGACTTACTTCCCCATCAAAACAACTTCTTTGTTTACTTGATTCGGAAATACTCATACGTAGTGACGGATTATCTCAAGGCAGTCGGATTGCGGTGAATTTTTGGAACTTTTTCCTTACAAGAGCGATTTTTTGATCTGAAAATGCAAAAGAACGTTCTTTTGGATCCCGCTTATGCTTTTTTCATGCCGCTACCTGTAGTTGTCTCCAGACATCTCTATCAAAGCATGATATTCATCTGTTCCCTCAAGCCGACTTTGGGACAAATGACAAAAGATATATAATGAGTTGCACCCAATATGACCACCGCCTCTGTAGTGAACATGGACATTCCCGGTTCTAATACGAGATTCTATTGTTTATGAAAGCTTGGAACAAAGTGAGAGCACCCTCAGGAAGATAAGCATGTGCACGATCACAGCTATCCGCAGAGCTGTGAATTTCGTTTTGTTGAAGAGAATTTTGCAGCACGCTGACTGGAGTAGGGTAGTTGCCCTTTCCCATAATTCGTCTCAAATCGCCTAAAATACTTGAATAATAAAGAAAAACGTTTTTTTGACAATTTTCCATCTTCACACTCTTTTCCACCATTTTCTTTTTTCTTTTTCTTCGAAAGCCAAATAAAATCGGCAGACTGCCATGAGTTTTGCACACATGCATGAAAGAGGGATTTTGCGGCGAAATAAGAATAGTCCATTTCTGCGTAGAGCAAAAAGTTTTTAGAATCTAGTCATGCAGTTTGTTTTCAAAAATAAGAATTGTACCCCAGGTGTTGAATATGGAAAAGAAGAAGCACACTCGTTGTGATGATCAGGTTTCTATTGCACATTTCCCAAATTTCTCCAATTAATTGCTCTTATATGTAGCTACATATCCAATGTTCAATAGCTTACTGGCAATACATGTGAGTTGAATTCTACAAATTTATTTTACTGCGTTTATATGTACACAGCACTGCTGGACGTATCATAGTGTGACACTTT